CGGGCGCGGAGCGAGCCGCTGGCTCCCTTCCCCGCTGGTATCCGTCGGTATTTTCACGTCCACTCGCCCCTCCGTGGATTACACCCTCCCCCCGCCCCCGGGGACCAGCAGATCTGATGTACGCGGCTTCGTATTTACCAAAATACTTGCGGAATAAAATAAGATCCCCTGCTGAAAGAAACGAGAAGCAGTGGCTGGGGTTTGCAGCTTTCCCACTCGCACACAATAAATAATCTCGGGCTTTTTTACCCCCCCCCCAGCCCGGCTCGTTGAACAGTGTGTTTCACTGTGATAGTGTGTGCAGGGGAGCCAGTGTTCATTTGGAGGGATTAAAAAAAAATCAGTGTTTACTGTAAGGTTGTTAGGCTGGATGTAGTCTTGTTGAATTAGAATGAGATTTTAATAATTTATAAAGCAGGTTAGGGAAACTGTTACTAAATTTACAGCAGAGAAGTGTCAGTAAAGCTTCTTGCTGACACAATGATCCTGCAGTTTAAGTGATCTACTTTAGTCCCTGTCCGTTATTATTATTTTTTGTAATTTAATTTTGAGCGAGCATTTCTGCAGAAATGGTTACACTCCAATGATGCACGTGACGAGGTGGTGGATCTTTCTGATGAGATGAAATAGGGCCAGCCAATTCAGGTTTTCAAGAATATATTTTTGCTGATATTTCCAGAATTTGGTTTATGTAACAGGTAACTTTGTGGGTTTTTTGGCGGACTGTTGAAATCTCAGAAGTGGCTTGCTAAAGTACAGGCCATTCCATTTCAGTTTATCTGACTTTTTTATTTATTAATCTTGGCTGGGGCCTGAATGCCCTGGTGATGGTGGCATTGTTTTTTCGCCAGATGATAAACAAGACCAGTTTAAGGTACAGGTTCATGTTGCTGCTAGTATATTATATTTAGAAAGCATAAGTTGGTAGTAAAAGAATACCTCAAGAGAAATCAAGAAGATGCAATAAGGGTTTTTCATTATTGTCATGCCAGCTGCACAGTTCAGCTTCTGGATGCTGCACATGCTTCCTCAAAGAAGCTATGGAGTTTATACTTCCATTTTTGATAGATTTAGTGCATGTATGTGTAATATTGCACCTTTCAGAACTTGTTTACACTGTTGCAATAAATTATACTTTCTAAAGCTTTTCTTACCGAAGACAAACACGAATAATGTCCATCTCACTGGATTTAATAATTTAGGAGGCATATGGTATTTTAATATCATAGTATTATTTTGATAAAATAAGTACTCTAAAGTGTTCTCCCTGTTGTGGAATCAACTTCTTTTAGCATACGAGTCACTCTGGTAATTGAAGTCCACGGACACTGAGGATGAGTAATGCTTTCCAAGGACATGTTTTAAGACCCTGATCCTGCAAATGCTTATGCCGATGCTTAACTTCGCACGAGTGTGTAGCCTTACTGAAGTCTACAGAGCTGCTCTTGTTAATGACTGTGTTATTAATGCAAATAGTTCTCTTGATTTCAGTAGAGGTGCACATGCTGGTGAAGTTAACTGTGTACCGAGCGGCTCACAATGTGTAGGCCTGAATACCTCCTATCTCGTTTCCCTTAAGTATTACTTATGTAGTTCACCAAGATGTGATGGGCCTTTGAAACAGACAGGACAAGACCGGTAAACATAATAGCTGGGTGGATTAATTCACTGTTTAAATGTTTCCTTTTGGCATTTCTTAGTAGTATGGGATCACGTGTAGCAGTACTACCAAGGCAAGTTTTATAGGAAGAAGCAGTGATTATTTCTTAGGCCAGCTGATAGAGTTGGGAAACAAACAAGCAAACTTTTGCTTGCAGGAACCTTTCTTGGCTCTCTGCCTCTGGCAGTTATGGCTACCACACTGCTATTCTTACAGAAATGCCACAACGTGGAATAGCCGTGTGTAAAGAGACTCGCAAGGAAATAACCGAGTATTTCTAAGATGGAGAATAAAGAAGGAATATGGAAAATCTGTCAGTGTTAGTGAAATTCTGAAGCATAGCCGCAATTTTTGCTGTACTTTCTTATTTCTGTGAAATCTCGTGTATAGGTGTGGCAAAAAAACCTGTATTTTTCTTCTGCCCTATTTTTTGACCTATGCACATTGATGACTTTAATGCCAAAAAACCACTTGTACCTCTTTGTGCACCCATTCTTCAGCGTGCATGGTGCCTTGCAGAACGAGTTGAAATTACTTTCCAAAGAATGTATGTTTTAGTATATATTCCCAAAGAATATATAGTTTAAGGCTACAGTCCTATGTCAAGTCTGCAGGTGTATGATGTTCTGTTGACATAATGATATCAGTATTAGGTCTGAAATTTTCCTGTTGCGGAATTTTTGGCAAATGGGAGGCGCAGATAAAGCGAGCGAGAAGAATTATTACACTGTTCTATGAAATTTATTCTGTACAATTTGTTCTGTGAAGTTTATTCTGCACAGTTTGTATGTATGTTGGTGGATTAGCTCTCTGAAGTCTATCTGAGTGAGTTATCAGCAGGAGACCGGTCCAGGAAGAGGAAGATTTTTTGAAAATTTGGATTAATCTTTACCTGTTTCATCCGTCTGGAATATCTTTTTAACGCTTGTTTTCCTTCAGTAGGGATATGTCCTCAGCACCAACTACTCCTCCATCAGTGGATAAAGTAGACGGATTTTCTCGGAAGTCCGTCAGAAAAGCCAGACAGAAGAGGTCACAAAGCTCCTCCCAGTTTAGGTCTCAGGGCAAGCCTATCGAGTTAACTCCCCTGCCTCTGCTAAAAGGTAAGATCAAGAATGATTTTTAATAAATAATCCAGTTTTATTCTACAGCTGACTTTTAAACTCAAAGTATTCTATTGCCAGAAATTGCAGGGAAATTTTGCCAGCAATGAGAAATGTTTCATGCCAGAAATGTATGTATTTAAGCTCTACAAAATGTTTTATCTGTGACTTGAGGGTGTGGTAATTGTTTGCAATACTTTTGAAAGTTTAAAATGTTAATGTTAACCCGTACCGTGACTCGAATTTTCGAGGTGCTTGGGCTGTGTGTGAATATTTTAGTTTGTGAATCTTCAACAGTTGACCTAAATGAACAATAATTTTGGTAAGGGTAAACTGACTTGTGAGCAGAGGGAAACTGGAATCTTGCCTTGTGACGTGTGGGCCTGCAGGCTGTGACGGTGGTGCCCAGTGCAGCCCAGAGGCATATTTTGAACACCCTGAAGCGAGGCATTAGTGGACAGATGGGACCCACTCTCACAGCATTTGTGAAGGGGTAACTCCCAGCTCCTGACTCCACTGGATTTTGAAATCAAAAGATCCCATGAGCTGCAGCTTCTCAAGAGGGAAGGTGGTGCCAATCAGGTCTTAGGCAAGACACCACTGTTGTGAGAGCTGTGTGTCCCAGCTCTGGTTGAGTTTCTGCTGGCAGATTTAACCTTTAATTTGGGAAAGAAAATTGTGATCCAGCATACAACTTTTGAAAAGATGCCAATATCTCCATAATATCTTGAGTGCTTCCCTGAAATCCCCGTTGTCACTGAATTTCAGTACAAATCTGGGGGCCAGCGGCACCTCTCTGTGTTGTGTCTGTCTGGTGAGGAAGGACGAATCGCCTTCCAGAGGTGTTTCTTTTACCCTGAATTCTCAAATGATTTATTAAGTTTTGTGAATTTTTTCTGTTGCTATTCTTTTCTGTTACAAGTGGTGAAAATCAGCATGGTTTTTGCTGATAATTCTGGAAAATAGCAAGATTCACAGGTTTAATTTTATATCTGTCCTGATTTTGCTTTGGGTATATTTCCCACATTCTTTCCTCTACTTGTTTGACAGATTTGTTTATCAGAATATTTTAATATGTAATAAATGTGTAACTGCACTTTGGTTTAGTTCTTAACCCCGCTTCTTCATGAGAATAGTGAAGTTGAACCAACCGAAAAGCCCAACGGAAAACAAAAAAGCCCAAAAGATCTTAATATGTGTCTCTTAATTTAATTAAAACTAGGGTTCTAGGATTAGTTCTAGTGGAGTTGTCATTAGAATATTTGGGGCTACCTGTAAGAATACCCAAGTGGCCATACTGGGTGAAAAGAGAGGTCCATCCAGCCCCAAGGCCTTGTACCTGACAGGGACCGACTTGGAGGAGGGCAGAAGAGTGGGGAGGCCTGAAGTGATGCTGTGCCAGAAATGCTCCTCCCTCCCGTCAGCATTTCTCAACTTAGGGTCTGCCACTGCCAGTGGATTTGACTTTGTGGTCTGCAATGACTATTACTTGATGAATTTTTCTCGTTGTTTTGTGACAGTATGATAAAGGGCAAAATGCTCCTTTAAAATAATTTTAAAGCTCAGTTTTATACTTTTGGAGATCATTCTTGACGTGCAGGTCATTTCCTTTGAAAACACTAGTTGCTGCACTTGGGAAGGTGAATGGGGTTTGCCCCATGTCTTAAATGGCTAGATTACTGGAAAACACTGAGATTTGTATTTGTGGAAATGAAGAAAGTGATGTTTCAATTATTTAATTCTATTGTGCAGTCCCATTCAGGGAATAAATATGCACAAGGAAAAGGTTGCCTTTGTCTGAGGACCTCGTCTTGCAGAAACATAGGCATATGCAGGTGCTTAATTTGACTACTGCAGTCCTGTGGATTGAGATATAAAACTATAAGAAGATAAAACAAACAGATGGGGAGCAGAGAGTGTCAGTGAGACATTTATGATTAGTGTCATAGTGAGTTACAGTGGTCCAGCTTCAAATTAAGAATCCGATCCTGTGAGTTGGTTTTCCCCCTTTGACCTAATGCGGATTCCCCGCACAGGGATCCGCCCGCGCAGATTAACTTGCAGGGTTTGGACCTCACAGTCTGTGTGAAGCAGCAGTGGCACTGGTCGTTGCAGGAGGGACGCTGGCAGTTAAAAATCATGCCACTGTTTGGAAATATTCTTGACCTACATAAAGATTTGTGATGTTCAGGATTATTAAACCTGAAAGGAGTGAGGAAATGATTTCCTCCTCCATTTTTCATACTTTTCTTGGGCAGGTGCCTAATCTTGTAAACTCCAGGGTTCACACTTACCTTGAAACAAGTGACTAGTCCTGTTACTTCAGCAACCATATGATTTCCAATTTTATCTTTATTGTTTGGATTTTTCAAACCAAAACAGAAGACATTTCAGCAAAATAGCTTTCTGAAGTCTCAGGAAAATGAGATCAGTTTGGAGATCTACAGCTGCTAAGTTTAAATAAACTTCTTGTTTTGGGTAAATGTCAAGTTTAATTAAACCTCTCCAGAAGTATTCCAGTACAGGAAATTTTTAGAGGACAGACCTCAAGTTCAACTTTAAGCATATTTCATATTCATAATGGAGGGGCTCTGCTGACAAAAACATACGTGCTCCGCTCCCTTCTCTTTTTTTTTATAACTATATTGCATATTGGCATTTGCAGGCTGCCTTCTCTCCAACAGCAGCGTTGTGGTCTTCAGTGTCGTCTTTGGCTACAGGAATCATGTATGCAGAAAACTGGATAAATGCTCAGTCCGTTCCTTGCAAGTTTTTGTACTATGCCTGTCACCATAATGATCTGAGCACCTTCCAGTAGTGTATTAAGTGACGTGACTACACATCTGTCACATCTTATCTGCTCTCATTCCTTTCCCTAGGGGCAGAGTCATATATAGTAAAATGGCTTGTTTTGGTGGTGTTTTAATGCAGTCTGTTGCCTTCTGTGAGCATACATGCCTGTATTGCAAAAACAGATAGATCAGTCAGTGTTGCTGTTGTCCACTTGGTAATAAAAGCATTTCAGGAAAGTAAAACAAGAGGCAGTGTGTTGAGATGCTGTGTACAAGTCTGAAGGGTAACCTGATATTTAGGACACGTAATAAGAAGAACTGTAATTTTCAGTATTGCTTATTGTAGAAGAATAATATAGAGAAATTAAGTTGTTACTGTTGTGTTGTTTGTTTTCTTTTAAATTAACAGAAGTGTGTGTGTGTTGTGTCTTTCCGTAAACAAACAATGTATTGAGAGAATAAGGTGTGCTTTCTGGGGCTCTGTTGGGCCAAGTTGAGGTGTTCAGAAGCCACAAGCCAAGAAGCTGCTCTGTTTGCTTACAGTAAAGACAGCTTTTCTGACGATTATATTTTTATTTAGTGCATTGGGACCAAATCTAATTTGGACTTTCCTCTTTTGGTATGACTTGATGTCCAATATAACACTTTAAAACCAGTCTTTTCTCCTTTGTTTCAAGTGTAGAGGAGTGGGACAAAAAGTGCATATGGGAGTTGTGATGCAGTTGCCCATCATTTCTACTATCACATGCATTTCTAGATGTTTACGTGCTCTTGCCTGGTGTATCTTGCAGTGCATTACGGCTTTTGATTTTTGGCTTTACTTTTAAAGAGGCTGTGGGATCAGGAAGGCTGACAGGTCCCCTTGCTGACTGGTTTGTGGCAGAGCCGTTTTCTGGGAATGAATACTTCATAGCTGTGTCTTACTCAAACCCAGCCTGAGTTTGTTAGCAAAGTTTGAGCCATGCCTCAAATCATGCTTGTTCTATAGAGAAGACAGTATTGCACGGGCATTGGATAAATGTGTTATTTCTTGGAGGGTTATTTTACTTTCATTTTGTGTAGGCACTCTTTTTCCTTAGAAGTCTTTATAGTATTTTGTCCTGACCCGTAAAAGACGAATGAGGAGTTCATTTGTCTTTCTGCCAGTGTCTGTGATGGTAGGGGAGAGTCCAGAGAATGAAGGCATACATGTAGATGACTAAAAAGATCATATGGCTTATGAATACATGTTTAGCATCTTGAGAAATTGGACAGAAAACCTGCACATGATTTACAGTGTTCTTCACATCCCCCTTACCCTCAGTAAAAATACCTCAGTTAGGTAAAGCAAACCATCCAAAAGTGTCAGTTGAGTTTCAAATCAGCGTGTCCCATTCTTGTAATTTCAAGGTGTTTTTCCCTATCATTCTCCCACTGATCTAATATAATTAATACAGTTTACTTTCAGATCTTCTAAAACTATTGCATATTTTTGTTGAAAACAGCTCAAATTATGATTTTTATCTTTAGATGATTTTTCTTCCTCAAAATAGGTCGTCAGAATCTCTCTGTCAACAATACCAATGGCTCTGCTACCTCAATACTATGAAATTTATTAGGCTCCTGTTGCATTTATCAGATAGTTTCCATGGCATTGAAGAATTGCTGTAGTGGCAACAAAAGAGCGTTGCATAGTCAGAAAGGGAAAACCTCGTTTCACTTGCTGTTTGTTTTTAATAATTATATTATTTGCCTATAGTTGAGATTTTATTATAAGCTTTTCTTATGAATCTTATCTATAGGTCAAATGCTGAAGTTCCTAAATAGTAAAAAAATCCTACCAACTCCAAAAGACTTTTGACTGAGAACTGCAAGATGTGCACCTTCTTTCCCAATTTCAGTTACTTCTGACTTTTAAAAAATTTCTGTTGTTATAAAAAAGTGTGGCTTTTTCAGGCTGACAGATGCCACCTTCAGAACTGTACATAAGGGAAATAGTTATTATTTGAGTTGTAGAAGAAAGATAGAGCCTCTGTTTTCTGTTGCCTTCCATGGGGGTTGGTTACTTGTCTTTTCCATGCTTTACTCCACCTGTGAAATCTGGAATGCTTTACAGATAGCAATAAACCGTTAATAATATACCTAAGTTAAATACTTTACCCTAATTTATAAACAGGAATTTAGGTTTGTAGTAGTTATGAATTCTCAAAATAAAAGTTTGCTTTATTT